TGTTGTTACTAGGATGGCAGAGTAAAGGAGTTCTTTTGTTAAAGTGACTCTTGAGACGCATCTTAGTAACCATTCTTAACAAGGTCTATTATAATACTTCTTGAAATATTCAGGTTTACAAACTCTCGTATTGTTACCACTTAATTCTGCTCATATACTTATTTAACATGTATTTTTAAACCTTAATTTACACACACACACTTTAACATATGATTGTGGGTTGCATATTGGATTATTACATTATTTATGTTCTTTTGTTAAAGGTAACAACTAAGGGAAAGGGATTGTATATAATTAAAAAAAAACATGAAAAAAAAAGAAAAAGAAAAGAAAAAAATGATGATAATAAAAATGTAGATAAGTTTGATTTCGTAGCCTCCCTAACCTAAGCAATTAAGCCCGAGGGGTGTTTTAACACCTAATACCCTAAAGTCAACTGACTTGGGAGCTATTGGCCCAACGCTTGTTACATGGGTTGAGGAGAAAAGCTTAAGGGAATCAAACATTGCACTATCTACATATCAGTATCTGCGACCCGAGTTACTAAGCTCGTAGGGGTGTCTTAACACCTAATGCCCTAAGACCAACTAGTCTGGGAGTCATTAGCTGAAAGCTCGTTACATGGGTTAAAGATGCATGATGTTTTTAAATTATATGTATATAGATTTTAAAAAAAAAAGACAAAAATAATAATCCCAACCCAAGGAAGTTAACCTTAAACATTAGAACAAAAATTTTGTTTTCTTCCAAGAAAAGCCCCATAATTATGTGTTGATATATTGAGCACAAAAGAAAGGTTTATTAATATCTTGTTAAGAGGTATTGAGCAGATATATAAATTTAATGAGAGTTTGTTTATTTGGATAGATTAATGGAAGTTAAATGATGAATACCTTGCTTTGTGGAATTTGCAAATTGTTTTTCTATTTAACGCTTTGATTACTAGGGACTAGTAATAAGCTGGTTGGGGGGTGTGATTAGTACTTAAAAGTGCATTTTTATCATGGTTTTATATCATCATTTTGCACTTGAAGTATCAATAACTCCTTAACCAAAGCATGTTTTATAATAATATATCTAATAATATAAGATACCTTTAATTTGTGGTAAATGTCTATTTTTAATGCAGGCCTATCACATAAATGAAAGGATTGATTGATGACTTTAAGAACATAAATTGCAAGGATAAAGAGATGGCCAAACTTAGAAAAGAGATGTCGGTGCAATTCAAACCGGAACACTGTTCGGTAATTGGGTCATATCTGGAGCTATATATCTCAGATTTAGGTCCAATTTATATGGATGGAAAGGTAAGATATAGGCCTACAACTTTCATATGGAGCCTAAGATCTAAAAAGGCCATTTGCAAGTCCAAATTGTAGCAACAACAAAGAAGCCCGAATCTGTCTTCCAGCCCGAGTACTGTTCGGTATTTTGGCCATATCTGGAGTTCTAGAAGTCCAAATGAGCTGAATTTTTTACACAAGAAAGCTGAGACAATTTCCTACAACTTTCATGTTTACAACTGGCTCCAGTTTTGACGTTATCAATGACGTTTTGGGCAGACAAGAGAAGATAAGGATTGTCACCAAGTCAAAAGTTGGCCACCCACTTATCAATTAGTCATCAAATCAATAGTTCCTAATTTTGGCCTATAAAAGGAGGCATTTGCCATGCATTTAGGCATCTTGGTTTCCAGATCAAGATCATGCTCTTCCTTTCTCTCTTTGTATTTTTTGTATTTCTTATGCTTTGCTTTCATTAATATCAAGTTTATATCTTTCATTTCCTTTCATTTTCTTAGTTAACTTTTATCTTATTTATGTTTTTATTTTGTTTATTTATTTTTCTTTCTTTCATTATGTCTAGCTAAGTCAATTATGTCAAGGTGAAAAGGTTACACTAATGGTGTAAGAATAAGTATAATGTAAACTTAATATGGACTTTAATGTTTGATACTAACATGTTTTATATTTGTTATCTTGTTTACTCTTTAATACTTTGCTTGTTAAATGACTAATCTTGATTTATGTTGTATAACACTTGGTACAACAAATGCTTGGCACTTTCATAGCCCATAATGTATGGTATAACCGACACCTGAGCTATGAAAGGAACTTGATTTGTTGTTAACATAAGTTATAATCATGAATGCTTGACGAGATTTACAAGTATTAGCATTAATTGAATAAGATGACTAATGTAATCATGTTAACAATATATAATCTGATTGGAACCTCCTTTGTGTGTGGTTTCCAATTCAATAATAAGAGTTTATACTATACTTGTTTGATATACCATTAGTGGAACCTCTAACCTTGACATTTGTTATTATTATTGTTTAATCCTTACATTAATATTCCATCTCAAAGTTCTCATCATCTTCTTCTTCTCCTCTTTCTTTATTACT